GCCCCAATCTCCTGGGTGGAGCACGGGTGCCACAGGCTTGCTCAGCAGCACAGTCACTATTAAACTTGAGCTGGTGACTAAAAGGCAGCAAATYCAAGAAGGGTGTCCCCAGAGTCCCTGAAATTTCATTGCACTTTCATTTGTCTGATTTCTTCCTAATGTAGCTGATCASTACTAGAATAGCTGTTCGTGCYTCAGTTCTGTTCTGTCATTATTAARTCTGTGCTGATMTGTGTGGAAAATTTATATYCCACCTATGGCTTCTTTTTTTCAGCTAGTCCATGTGCATCGTTTGTGGTTTGTCACACAAATCCTACAACACCGTTTTTTAAAGTCCTTTTATTTACTCCTCTAAGCTCAGGAACAAATTTCAGTTCAAGTACTACCCCTACCTCACCTATGTTTCAGGAAAAAAGCATCTCTCACAGTCAAATAACAGTGGGGAGGAAGTTTGGGACTATTTTTATCCCTTTTTGGCGCAAAACACGACTCCCCTGGCCCAACAAACAAACAAGAGCACACCAGGCAGGGCATGTTGCCCTCAAAAAATTTTCAGCCACTACGTTTTTACTATTTGGCTTGAATTCTATTTGTCTTACCACGTACATGGACCTGTACATAACATGTGTGACAACCCGTCCTCCTCTTTGCCACTTTTCCAGGGTGCCCACACAAACAGAAAGAGCATATGCACCAGTGGTGGCACACAGGGCACACCCAGCCCAGCAGAGGATAGGGGACATTTGGCCTGGGCTGGTGTAAGAGACCGTACAGAAGACCTTTGACTGTCTCACAATCATCGACATGGACTGAGACTGAACACCCCAAAAACCCTAAGGAGGAGAAAGGGGGACTTCTGCTCAAAGGAGTCCGAGGAGATCAAGGTGAGATGTCTGCCAAGTTCCAGTTCCCAGGCTGCTGAGTGCAATGTATAAGCTGCTCCTGACATGAAGGCGGAGGAGAACAGTACAGCCCATGCTGCCCACCTTACAAAACAATGGACATTCTTTCCCCACCTCTTGGCCGGTTTTTCCATACTTCGCAACCCCCCTGGCCTCCTGCACCCGCTTTCAAAAAGACTATAAAAGGTCTCTCTGAAAAGACCCTGATGGGATCCCCCCAAAGGACTGCTGGCGAACCCATGGAATCTGGACCTCGAAGGACTCGTCCAAGCCGTTTAGTAGCTATAAAACCCACTCTTTCTCTCTCTCTCTCTCTCTCACTTTCTCTCTCTCACTTTCTCTCTCTCACCCTCTTCTATTCCGAAAAATCCAATAAAATCATTAATGATTTTGAATATATACTTGCCTCTCATTTCTCTTGCACTCTGAGATTCTGCTAACGAACCATCACGACTCCCGCTTGGGTTAAGCGGATCGTGACAGCTGGGTGCTGCTGCCTCAAGACATCTAAGTGCACGGATCAGAGTTTGTGAGCATGGTGGGGACTGTGGGCAGAGGCATGGCATGGGCTGGGGTGGCAGTGCTATGGTGGAGAGATGAGCTGCCATATCTGAGTTTGACAGAGGAAGCATAAAGATGTGTGATGGAGGGCTTGGGAGAGGAGAACACCAGCTTCTGTCCTGCCTGAGCTCGTGTGTCTCAGTTTGAGAGCATCTGACAAGCCAAAACTGAGAAATGACAGATGTTCGCATGGCTCCCAGTGTGTCCCAGTCAGACAGTGGGGCTGGCTGCACAAACCTCTCCACATGCAGTCCTGATCACCTTCTGTGCCATACCACAGCAGTGTTCTCACCAGTTTAGGTGTTGACAGTGTGTTAGGCTGACTGGGAGCACTGGGATCCAGTGTGGTCCCTGCACATAATCCTGGAGGCCACAAGAAATCTCTGGGTTTTACAGCACAGATAGCCTGAGTACATGCCTGAATAAGTGCTGCATTTACGGTCGCAAGTACTGTAAAAATGTGGGAAAGTTATAGTTCAATCACAAAATAACGTCTTGGGGACAACAACGGCTCAAGTGTAATAAGAAAGARAGTGAAAATGCTGGAAGAAAATAAAATATTAATAAAATATTTGTCTTTGAGCGAGATTTTCTGCAGGAAATAGCATTTCAATTCATTCTATCACTTTCACCCTTCCTTCCCAGCCACACCTCAGGCTGTGGCAGCCCATGTTTGCACGATGACTGCTCCATGTGTGTGCATGAGCACCCCATACCCAGCGTGCACA